CTATTGGCATCACACAGCATATGCTCTATTTATAGTCCATCCCTGTTCCTCACACAGCACCATGACTTGGGTTATGAGCCGATGCTGAAGCCTCAGGTCCGCCTTCCATTTTCTCTCCCTTCTTCCAGCCTCATCACCTCACAAGCTTTTTTCACCACAAAGCTGAGACATTTTCCCCTCCAGCAATCCTCCAGGCCTCCCATCTCAGCTGCGTGGTTCTCCTCAACACAGGAGAAGGCCAAGGAGTAAGGACTGGTCCTTCAGAAAGCCCTGGGCAGGACTTGGGGAGGTGAAGATCAGGGATGTAAATCACCAGCTGATTCTGCAAAGTCACAGCAAAGAAGCTCTGCCGCCACAGAGATTCACATGGAAACACGAGGTGAAGCCATGAATGCACAATCAGGGCTACAGCTCAGGATCTGTCTGAAGGAGGTTCTCCTTGCTGAAGGAAGGCGAAATTTGTTTATGCATAAATAGCCGCAAAAATAGCTGAAGGAAAGCAAAGGGAAATGAGTGGGAAAGCAAACTGGAGTTTTTCTGGCAGAGCCCGCTTTGCTGCCAGTCGAAGAGTCCCTCTTCTGAGCAGGTAGCAAAGGCTGCACCAGTACCAGCTGGTTCTGGAGATTCTTTTCATTTAAACAAAGAGCCTGTAACTATGGAGAGCACTCACTTTCCCTATAAAGCATTGCAGAGTGAGAGCCATCCCTCTCCAGGCACACGTTGTCCTATCCAGCTGCCAGAGAGACATCAGAGCCCAGTTACAGTTGTTTAAGGAGTTAACAAATCTTCCTCTATAGGAAAAAAAAAAGACAAAAAAAAAGAAGACGTATTTACGGTCTAGCTCCTCACAAAAGCACTTTGGAAAAATAGATATGGCAACTGCTCAGCATCAGATAGTGCAGATAGGGTCTTCATCAGGGCAAGTCCCGAGCTGCAGAGCAATGGGCACCATGTGCAGCAAATGCAGCTTTTGTTTTTCTGCAGTTGGTGTTTCTTCACCTGGTAAAATTGTCTCCAGCGCTGGGGGCCAGGCTCAGTGGCGGAGTGAGGCATTTCATAGAATCATAGAATCACAGAATGGTTTGGGTTGGAAGGGACCTTAAAGATCATCTAGTTCCAACCCCCCTGCTGCGGGCAGGGACACCCTCCACTAGACCACGTTGCCCAAAGCCTCATCATTTGGTGCAGGTGAAAGGCTTTGTGGCTCCTACAGACAGCGGGCACAAGGAGGGTGATTTCAACTGAACACTCACCCAGACCAACTAGTCTCACTCTGACCTGTAGCTCGGTAAAGAATAACTCAGCACCTCCCCAGGTAAGTTCTTCCCATGGCATAAAACCATCCAAACTTCAGGGAGGGTGCAAATCCTGCACCTTGTTTCCGCTTTTAGAAATTGTGCTTCATGTCAGGGGAAAGTTGTTGGCTGAACAGCCTGGGCAGAGGGAGAGGAAGGGAGATGCGGCACGGGCAGAGCAAAGCACCCCTCAAAAGCCAGAGCTTTGCCCAGATGTGCCAGTGCCATGAGCCACCGAGCTCCTCAGGGGAGAGCTCAGCCCCCAGCTCATCCATTCCTTGGCCTTTCCAGCAGTTGACTCCAGCCAGCAGCAGCAGGGAGAACACTTAGTACATTAATAAATCCCATAATACTGAATAAAGCACTTTGGTTTATGGTTTTGCTATAAGAACTCACCCCTGGGTACTTACAATTAACTGAACTGGAAATAAAGATTTCAATTTTTTTCCCACCAATTTTCTTTTTTTTTTTTTTTTTTTTTAAAGGAAAAAATAGCAAGTATTGGTATGTTATCTGTAGTAGCACAAAAATCATGCAAAAAGAAAAATATACAGGGATGATCTCAATGGCCTGTCTCTGTGCAGAAAGAAGGTGCTTTCCTGGTTACAGAATATTGCTTTGGCTTTATTTGCAGAGCAGTTCTGTAATTCATTGTTCCCCATGATCATGCCTAACCCCGCAACGCCTGGCAAGTGTGTGGGGAGTAAGTGGGAAGAGCTCATTTTAGTACTGCATCAGACTTCACCCCTGACAGCAGGCAGCTGCCAGCATCGCTGCCCTGCCCGCACCTGAGAGCTGCCTGCTGCGAGACCCAGAGTAGCTGCGGAGGCTGGCAGGGTGCAGGCAGCTCATGCTCATCTCCAACTGCTGATTTTTCTAGCATTTTCACATCTTCTTCTTCCAGGTTGCCTGCAGACAAAGTTGCCTTCATAAAAAAAGTTCCCGTTGACGTCAATAAAAAGGGATCGGATGCTTCGGTGTTATTGTATGTGCTCGGCAGTGGTTTTGGCTGGAAAAACGAGCCCACGTGCAAAGATCCCGGCAGTGTTGGGGTTGAAACAACCCCCTGACCCACACAGCTAAGTCTTTCAGACTCCACATCATTCAAAGTACAGGGGGGTTTATTTTCCTTTATTAAAGCACACAAGTAGCCACCTAGGAAATTGTCATTTACACTGCAGTAATTGTAAAAATCATACCAACACAACCATTTCAGGAGAGAATTAAAGAGCCTGCACTTCAGCCGGCCAGCCGATTGCAAGCCTTTAACTCCATAGGCACAGTACAATAAAGCTTTTGCTTTCAGGTTTTTGTTTCTCTTCTTATAACAAACTCCACTGAGCATTGAACAGAATGCCTAAACACATTCACTGCAGGGCCACAGAATCACCCAAAAGCTTAGTAAACATACATTTATTGAGTACTTGATTATGTAAGATCGTTGCAGCATAGTCATTATAACAAAATCCTTATTAAAAAAATGCCAAACACTGGTATACTTTTTTCAGAGGACATAAATCTACTTAAAAACCCAACCAAGAACTACAAGGGGAGGGTGGCTGTTCGTTAGCCAGCCACTAACGAACGCTCTCCTGCTCCCTAACAGCACGGCAAGAAAAGCTCGGCAGTCGGTTCCCAGCTTCATGCACAACCGCACCCAGCACCCTGTCAGACCGTACGACAGCTGACGGGCTGAGAAGACTCACAGTTGTTCTCTGACCAACACTGTTATTGCATCCACAAATGCGACAGCCCACCAAACTCTTTCTTTTTCAAGGTCATGGATGCAGCTTGCCAGCAGCGTGGTTCTCAGGGAGTTCTTCTTAGCATGCTTGGGGGTTGTATGAGATTTCCTGGTGAGCGCTTGGGGATAAACATCCATTGCAAAGTGCTTAAAGTGCCCAGATTTTCTCCTCCCCCTACGTTATTCAGGGGAAGCGCTAATTGCAAAGTTTGCTCTGGTTTCCCTCCAGATTCCCAATCAAATGCTAATCAGCATAAAAATCCTCCCAGCTTGAGCAGTTTACAAGGGATCTGGGTCCTATATGTGGAACACTGGAATTGCATCTATATTTTAAGACCAACCATAAGGGAAACACTCTACATAGAAATATAACATTGGATTCTTTTATACAGCATATATAAAGAACATGACAGCATTAAAATATTGGCAAATCAATACATTAAAAATACAGAATCTCATAGACCAGAGCACAAGAAATATATTGACATGAAATCTGTACAGTCTGGAGGACGCTGCCGGTCCTTGCGTTGGAGTTGACTTCCCATCTCCACATGGAGGTCGTTGCTTTGCTTCCCCATCAAGCACCACTGGCCATCGCTGCCCAGATTTCACCGGGATGTTGTGCTACAGGGAGAATACAAGTCTGCTGCCCTGCTAGCACAGAGGGCACCGAGTGGTTAAATGCTTCAGGAATGCTTTCATTATCAAATGAAATGACAGGGCATTTCATTTTACACAAAATTCTGACCTAATGGGAGAGGAAAATCAATCTATGGTTGGCAGGAGGGGCAGCACCTCGGCAGCATTTCCCAAGCTCTGTCAGCATCGTGGATCTCATTTCATTAAAAAACCCCGAAACAACTACCTTTTGTACGGTTTGCGCACCGCTTATCTCGTGTGAAGCAGGTGAGACTGCTTTAGGCTGCCCCTCCTACCAGAAATGTCCACATCTTCTGGAAGAGCTGCATTTCTGACTTCTCCGAAATGGCTTTCCTCTATACATAAATACAAGTCTATATAGGCCACTTCATTCCTTCCTCCTCTGACTGAGAAAGATCCCCAAGGCATGCTTGGCAAGATGAAATCCTACAGTATAGCTGTACCTATAGCAGTATAGAGAGGTGTATATACAGACATATTCTGTCCATTATTACAATGGAAATACAGGGTTTTAAAAAACCAACAATAGCAGCATGTAAACAAGGATTTGTGTTCGTTTCATCCGTCTTTTCTTCCTCCTCTTCCGAGCTACCTTCATCAGTTTTCACAATACCTTCTCACCACCCTGCTCCCCTCTCAAGGGTTTTACTGCAGACCCCATCTGCAGGAGCTCACGTTGTCCTCCCCGGGCTGCCAGCCGCGGGGCAGTTTGAATTTCCCTTTCCACCAGCTCCCTCCTCTCCCTCCCTGCATCCTTTCCTTCGTGATGACTCATCCTGGAAATGATCTTGGGTTTTTGTCTGATGGCTGCTGCCCACTTTGGCTTGAGCAAAGTCTAATTTCAGAGCAATGCTGCAGGAATAAAACCTGCACACGAGCGCCTGGTGAGCCATATGAGCTGTTAGTGTCTTAAACAACTCGGTGAGGAGAAAAGAAATGGAATAGCTTGCATTTTGTCTGTCTCCCAGCAGTAAGTATAAGTCCCAGGAGCAATGCCTGCTTTAAAGCCTTAATTCCTGAATTGTCAGTAATGTTGCAAACCACCGGGGTTTTGCAGGAATCAAAGGGCTGATTTCAAACACGTTCCTTAGTGCAGCGTGCACTGGAATTAAAAATGCAAATGGGCTCACTTTCTGCATGCTCTTGCAGTATCCGGTTTTCCCAACCCCCAAAACTGTTTCCTCAGTTTCTCGCCTCTCAGTTTTGAGGTCCTGCTAAAGAGCCGTTATCTGAGTTAGCTCTGACGTGGGGGTGGTTGGACTCTGCTGGGCGACAGCCACCATGGGAATTTCCATGCCTAGTCAGGCCGGATTGTTAGTCCCCTCCGAGTTCTTGCAGGCATAGGCCACATCCTTGGCGATGCTGCACATCCTGTTGGACATCTGGAGCTCGGTCCTGAAGGCAGTGGGGAAGCAGAACTTCTTGAAGCATGCCTTGAAGTTCTCATCTAAGAAGGCGTAGAGCACGGGGTTCAGGCTGCTGTTGGCATACCCCAGCGCAGTACAGAAGCAGGAGATGGCCAGCTCGAGCTCGCTTTCTGCCTTGGCACCCAAGCACTGGACCAGCACGAAAATCTGGATGGGTGTCCAGCAAATGATGAAGACGGCCACCACCACCAGGACCATTCGGGTGATGCGTCTCAGGTTTCGATCCTTCTCCTTGGAGCCTGAGAGGACACGGACATTCTTGAGTCGTCTGATCATGAGACTGTAGCAAATGGTGATGATCAACACGGGGATCATAAAGGAGAAGAGAAAGACACAGATGCCAAACACTGGATCCCAGTAATCCACGGGTGAAGGGAGTTTAATTAGACAATCAATTTCTGCAAGTGAAAAAAATAAAAAAGACAGGAAGATCAGCAAACCCGTACCAAGAAGAGAAACATCTGCACACAGAGAGTTTAGTTTAGGCATGTTTAATAGTGGAAAAGCAGTAGCAGTGACGCAGAGATGCAAAGGCAAAGAGGAAATAGTTAAAATGGCTTTACAGCAGAGAAGCTCACCACACTACTGAAACTGGTACCCCTCTCCAGTGGCTCCCCAAGCCCACAGGTTCTCCTGGCCACCAACACTTCGCACCCCATGGATACATTTTTACTGACCATTGTTTTCATTCTCTGCAGATCCCATCACCATCGCTGGGATGCCAAAGACAGAAGCCAGTGCCCAGATGCAGATGTTCACCACTTTGGCCTTGTGGGGAGTGCGGATGTCTAGTGCTTTGATAGGGTGGCAGATAGCAATGTAGCGGTCCACACTCATCATCGTCAGGGTGAAGGTGCTTGTGAACATGTTGTAGTAGTCTATAGAGATGGCAATCTTGCAGAGGACATTGCCAAAGGGCCAGAAGCCCAGGAAGGTGTCTGTACCCTGGAAGGGTAAGGTCATCAGACACAAGGTATCAGCCAGAGCGAGGTTAAAGATGTAAATGTTGGTTGCTGTCTTCATCTTGGTGAATCTGAAATGGAGGAATGAGCAATGATTAGAGCTCCACCTGACCATGATGGGTAAGACATTGAATTCTACTGAAGAGGCCATTCTGCCACTTTAGGAAGGAGATGCCGTATTTTTCTTATGTTGCAAGAGATTGAACACCACCCTTTCCTTTTTTTATGCTTACCAACACAGCTCAACCCAGCTCCTACAACAATACAAATGGTGCCTTTACAATCAGTTTCATGGACAAAAGAAGCTTATTCCCAAAGATTGCAAGTGAGGACCATGAAAGCCTGAGGCTGTCAACTCAGATTGCACTTTTTGAAAAATGACTTCAGTAAGGCTAATCTAGGATTTCATCACATATGGCTTCATTATTATAAATATTGGTGAGAGCTTTACCCACTAAGCTGATTTGAAAGGCATCATATGGTCCAGGGGTAAGTTGATTAGCTATTTTATATGGGCTCATAGACAAAGACTATGGCTAATGTGAGCTATCAAATCAGAATGGGCAAGATAGTCAGCCCTGGCCAGTGGCAGCTAAAAACTGGTGACGAATGAGGTTTGTGTCAGGAATCAAAATATTACAGTGGATATTTCTAAAGAAAGGAGCAGTTTGCGGACAAAGTCGTGAGTCAACTCTACTTCAAAGGACTTTTGTCATTTCTGTATTACTTTTATCGCATGAACTGACTGCCCCGAAAGAAGATTCACCTTGCTCTAATGGTAATCATCTCCTTTTTACACATGGGAAATGATGCAAAGAAAGATGTGATCACCTACCCAAGGACACATGCAGAGTTTGCAGAAATGGAAATTCAACGGTGACTCTGTGACTGAATCTAACATTTCAGCTCCAGGATGTTCCTCTCATGGGCAAAATAAGAGCTCAAATAGGTATAATTTTAAAACTATAGCTCATCTATCATTTACTATACTAATGGCCTTTGCAGAAATGTTGCCAGAAATGGCAGACAATGATGTGTGTTATTAACAGAGGGCAAGTTTATTTGAGGATAACACTTAAACCCATAAACTACTGCACTATCTGTAGTTTGATATGTGTTGGAATATTATGGGGTCCAATTTGGCCAAAAAAAGCTCTTTGTCAAATTGATTCAGACTGGCAAACCCACAACTGCATTCCTCAGCACTGCAGCACCATGCCCCCCCTCCCCTGCCAATGATCTGAGCTTCAGGTCTTGATAGATTATTTGAATGCTTGGAGGAACATTATCATTGCCACGCTCTGAACTCTGGTGACATAGCCAGGTTTGCAAGGATAACAGCCAGGGGATCTGCAATCCAGAATGCAAAGTCTATTTTTTTTTACCCCTCTTAGAGCTCTAAGCTGTGCTTGTATTAAAAGTCAGATGTTTGAAAGTGGCTTCAGAAAGCAAGAACAAACAATCCTACATTTGCCCTTGAAAGCCAAGGGTAGCTTTTGGAGCAGGTGAACGTTGATAGAAGCACTTGAGGTCCCCATGTCAGCCTGAGTCAGGGTCCTCCTGGCCCAGAAATCACGGCAGCCAAGCAAGACAGCGGGTTCTTAGAAAGCCAGCCCAGATCAGGTAAACTTATATAACAAAAAGCAGTAGAGGAAAAATACCAGTGTCTTTCCTATTGTGAAGAGATGAACAAGCAAAACACTTTGCAAATCCAACCAGGCAGGTGCCAGGGCTTTAAAGCTTTGGGACTTACTACGCAGAATTACACAGGAACAGACTCCAGTGCTGTGAACCCCAGAGCAGCAGCATCTCAGGGTGGGTGAGTTTTGCTTTTTCACTTGAATTCTTGCAGTTGGCATAAGTGAGGCAATGCACGCAGGGAGCACGAGATGGGTCTGTGAATGGATTCAGACACTTTCCCCTCTAGGTCAGCAGGGTGGGTAATTAAAATTAAGAAATTAAATCACTGTTGTTTATCAGCCCACACAAAAATAAGTATTGTCAGCTTAGGCTTCAGGAAATTACTCAAGTCACCTAAGACTGTGTTAGCAAAGGTCTCCTGGGAGCTGTAGTCTTCCTCTGTATACCACAGACCTGGCTGGGCTCGCCCAAGCTTCCCAAAGGTCAAGCTTATTCCAGTCCATCCTTCCCAGAGGACTGGACTTGGAGGCAATTCATCAACATGCCTCTAACCCTAACTACTTTTACAGATGTTATAACTTGAGAGAATAACAACTGCATCTTTGAACCATGATGGGCAACTTCACCACTGAAACAGAAAAAATAAAAGGGTTTCTTTATACCAGTGGGAGAAACAAGCAGCGATCCACCCCGCTCTACCACCCATCCAGCATCCACAGGGGACAACATTGCCTCCATGCACACGCCTGTGTCCCCAGAACAGTGAGAAGTCTGGGGCATCTCAGCTAACCCTGAGCCTGGTGTGTGCAGCTTGCAAACCTTCAGCTCCCTCTTGCTCCCTTCCACCCCAGGGGACCTTACGGGTCCCTCTCCTCCAAAGACACTTCTCAGCAAGAATTCAGAGGCTGGGTGCAATCGCTCAGCCTGGCCCTGCAAAACCCACCCTCCCCCGATGCACGGATGCCTCCCTGCTGTCCCTTTTCTCACTGTCCCCAAGGTCACAGCAGAGCAGAGCCGCCTTCCTTCGCTCGCTCCAACACGGGGACACGCTGGGGTGGCTGGCCCATTGCTTACCTCCTTCCACCCACCTTCAAGCGGATTTTAAGGGTCATTTTGCGCTCTTGAAAGGTGGGGAAATTGATTTACACCTAATTAATTACTTTTAGTTCCACTTTCTCTGCACGCTGAGAGCCAACAGCCATTATCCCAACCAACCAATGTTCCCAAACATTTCCAGAATGTTCAGTACAAACAAAAATCAATTAATCACTTCTCTGTGGATTAACCTCTTTTTCTTTTCCTCCGGGAACTGCAAGTGTTCTCTTTCTTAATCTGCACAAAAAAAGACAAATTAAACTCTCGGGCTTTAGGAGGCACCTAAGGTCCCCACCATGGCACAGCACGGACACAACTGTGTCCTCCGGCACAATCCATGAAGGACATTAGCTCCCCACTGAGCCACTTTCTTGCACTCGGTCACAGAGGCAATTTCCTAATGGAGCATCTCCCACAGGGCGGTTCTCAGCTCTCCATCCAGCTCCACCTTTGTCACAAAAGTAATCGCTTTGCTCTGCTCTCCTGGCTGCTGAAGCCGAAGAGGAAAAAACATCTGGATATCAGCTCAGCACTTGGCTTCCCCCTCCTTTTTGCTAAGTGGACCTCAAGCAGCATTACCTGGAACAAAGGTGTGCTTTGGCAAGGGGAACCCACGTACTGGGCTTTGAGGTCCTGTTTTTCACAAGGACAGGTTCTGTCCCTGGCTGAACCTCAGGGTGAGCTGCAAACCTGTTGTTTTAGCATCATTCGCTCCTTTCCACCCAGCCACCGTGAGGCTGCAGGGCAGCAAGCAGCTCTGGATGCCCCAGGGCTAAGGACCAGCCAGCTGCAGCAAACCTAAAACCCAAAATGACGCTGCAGACACCAGGGGCAGAGGGACCAGAACAAAGCCTTCAGCCCTGGGGAACCGTGAGCATTATCTCCAGGAGCTCTCTGTCTCTTGGAGCCTCTTGATTTTGATATTTGTAGCTCGAGCTAATCAGGATGCAGACAGTGCTGTTCACCTTGAGCAGCTCCCTCCATTCCCGCCCCACGCCCTGGCATCAGTGACAGCCTTTGCTGCCCTCCCTGGACCTGCACAGGGAAGCAAAACAGAGCAGAAAAGACTCAGGGAGGATTTTTGCGAACCTGCTCCCACCCTCTGACAGTGGACATCAGCACGGGTTCACCGACATCTCTACTCCCAACCTGCTCTTAGCCCACAGGTTGCATGAAGCTGATATTTGATCTGGCACGTACCATCGTGGTTTGTGTCCTTCCAGCCATACTCCCCCACTGTGCTCACCGTGACCCTGCCCCTCCGTTCACCTTTTCAGAGCCCCCTCATCCTGAAATCACCCAATCCAAGCCAGTTTATTCTTAATGGTTCAACAGGCCACAAAACCCCAGAGAATTTAAGAAGGACAAATTTAAATCACTTTGGACTATGAAACCAGCAAAAGCAGCCAGCAACACCAGCACATAAAAGCCTATTAATTAACTGGCGACTGACTAGCAGGGGTTAAAGTCTGCTGCCAGCCAGGGCGAGCAGCAGCGCTTTGGGACAGATGATTTTCTTGCCCTCTGAGTCTCGCTGGGTGACACTGGTGCCTTTCCTCTTCAAGGGGCTCTCTAGGGATCAGCACAGATGGAGACACTGCATGGCCCGGATCGCTGCCATGCCAAGGGCGGAGGCTGGGCAGCTGCTGCTGCAAAAGCCTCTGCAACTCACCCAGGGACTCGCAGGGAAGCTCAGGCAACCCTGAGTGGGCACACGGCCACCAGAAACGGTGCTTTGGTCTAAGGAGGGCACTCACCAGCACCTGTCTTGCAGCAAGATGCTCCCTCTCCTCCCTGTTCCTGGGCTGTATCTGCCTCTGCTGAACTGCTCGTGTCCTAAATGCTGCTGGGAATCGCCCAGTCCCTGCAAAGCACTGGGAACCAAGTCCCACATTAAACATCACAGAATTACTGCTGCACACGGGTAGTTCCTTTCCACTCATCCCACCAAAGCCAGGGGAAACCAAGAGCCCTCCAGCACACATTGGAGTTGCAGGAGCCGTGTTAGCAGGGACCACACACGGCTGCTATGAGCCATGCGGCTGAGCCCAGCTCACTGGGGCTCGTGGGGGCCTGAAAATGGGGGAGCTGCAGACCTGCCCTTTGCAGCTGGTCCCCTTCCTGCTCACCTTGCCATCCTTCCCCAGCTCCAATTACTCTGCACAGCACAGAGCCCTTGGCATGGATTTCCCTTGCCTACAAATTGCAACAATTTCCTATTCCCCCCCCCCAGGAAAAGCTAAAAGAGGCTAATCTGGAGAGAGCTGAGGTCTCAGATGGCCCCACCAGTGTCCGTACCACATTAAACACTCACTTGATTTCAGCTCTGAGACACACAGCTGGCCAAGGCTTTTCCCTTAGAAAGCTTTCTGTTAAGAAATCAGCATCTCTGCAATGTCACAATTAACTTCATTTTCCCTGTCTCAACACAGCCAGCTGCCTTCACCCCTATTCTCAGGGACTGATGCAGTTTGCAAGCAGAATAATGGCTGGCACAGCCATCCCCAAGCAACTGCCCAGTGCAGGCACCTCCCCATCACATCCCTCCTAAAGCTTTACCTGGAAGCAGAAAATGGAAGTGTAGGAGCCTGACAGTCCTAATCTGCCTAAACAACTCCTTAAAATGCTCTGGAACGGCATTCTTCAATAGGGAGAGCTGAGCGTCCCCAGTACTCTGTGACACAGAAATGTCATGGCAAAGAGAAGTGCCCTAGAAACAAGGTGTCATTCTCATGGGGGCCAGAAGCTGCATGGTGTCCCTGGTCCCTTCCCTGACACACCAGTGGAGGCTTGGGGGTCTGTCACACCCTGTGGACCAACTCTTTGGTTACTCTCATGTATGCATCACCTCCAGCCCAATGGCCCATGGATCATCCAACCCCATGGCCATTGCAAGAACAATACATGCCCCTTCTCTTTTCTTCCTGAAAACAAAGCTCTTGGGCATCCAGCCTTGCAGAATTCAGTTAATAGATAGAGAGACCTCAGCAGCCTGGTTTCCTCCACTCTCCCCCCAAACCTTGTTTCACATTCATTAAAAAGCAGTGCAGGAAATATATGCAGAAGAGAGCAAACAGCAGGAGAAGGAGGGAGGGGAGGCATTACCTCCCCTGGCAAGGAACTCCACAATGAGCAAGCAGAACAAAGCCGCAGACAAGGCAGGTTTCCACAATAGGCCCTTTACTGTCCAGGAAATCGTGTTTCTGATGAGAGCCCTTCTTGGTCTTATCCAATTAGCGCTGCTCAGTATTAGAAGGGGATTGACAGTCACATGATGACTGTCTCTATAAATTAATCATTCCAAATGTTAAATCACTCCAAATATAATAGAGATGTAGGCTGGGTTCTACAACAGAAGGGAAAACCCAGAGGAGGCTTTGAATTTGTATTTTTGTGTGAAATACTGGGAGATTTAAAACTTTTCCCTTGGTGCAGCAAAAAACTCATTCAAGAGGAACAAAAAATAAGCCTTCCTGATGCCTCCAATTTCCTTGAGTGCTGATATTAGAGTCTTTGTATTTCCCAACTCCCTCAAAAACAGGAAACAATTACTGTCTACATCACCATACCATTCTTTTTGTGGAAGATAATACACTGGTTTCTTATAGGTTGTGTAGCATGTTGAAGTCTGGTTATCCCTGGTGAAATATAAGCATGGAAAGAAATAGAACAGCTTTTGTAGGGTGCACCATACCTACAGATGATGCAGGTGCAGCACAGAGAGTTTGCCAGTCTTTTTTCCGTTAATGGAAGAGATATATCATTAACAGTCCCAAAACCCCACGTTGACTTACCAGCAACCAACTTTCAACCTACTGAAAAAAAAAATGCTATTTAAGGCATGAAGCCCAAAAGCACCAATGCTGCAGTCTGAGGAGAAAAACCTGTGCTTGAGAAGTCATCAACACCATCCTCGCATGGCCACTAATTTAGCAGCTCTGTGTGAATCTGCATACATGGCCAAGGTCAAGAATTTGAGATACTGAGTCCAGTTTATCACCACACTTGCTCCTGACCTCCACAGACAGGGCAAGGAGAGAAAAACCCAGAATAACCAGAAGTTGCAGTTACTTACTGAACCAAGAAAGGTCATTTGCCTGGGTATAACTCAGCATTAATCTCAGCCAGTACTGAGGTCCCAGGAGATAACGATGGGGAGAACCAGGGGAAACCAGCACCATCTTCTAAGCGTGCTCTAGCTCAGTTATAACTTCCCCAGCACATATTATTCAAGGGTGCCTCCAGGCTCACATAGAAGATTTTCGGGGAAAACAGAGATGAATCCCTAAAAAGGACTACCTAAATAATTAAAGCTTCTGTTGCCTTTTTTGTATATATAGGTGTTTCTGGATAAAGGGGAAATGGAAGAAATGGAAAAAGCCCGGGGGAGGTGGACGTGACACCTGTCTTCAGTTTTCAACTGTAAACCAGTAAAACCAGAGGGGACACACACAAAAAGTTATGTTCCAGGGGAAATTCCAGTGCTAAATCCCACTTTCTTTCCTTGGGTCTCATTTGTCCAGCTGGAAGGTATCAAAGCCAAAAAGGAGTGGAACAGAAGCCACCATTTTAAAAGCATGGCCTTGCATAGCCATGGCACACGTCCACCCTGAGCAGGATGCTGGTTTGGGACATTTGTATTCTTGGTGATACGCCGGTCAGAGCCCTGGGCAGGGGCCAGCAGGGTCCTGCTGTCCGCGTCCCACAATACCTTTGCAGACAAGGAGAAGATTTCTGCCAAGGCTTTTCCTTCTTACATCTAAGGTTCTCCCTTCCCCTGCATGCACGCTGGCTGGCATTCCCAGGGAACTGCATCACCGTGGGACAGGGACTTCTCACTCACAGAGACACTACTCACCACACTTATGCGCACCCACAAACACCGTGCCTACTCAAATGACTGCTACTACACGGAACAGAAACACAAGGTCTCCAAACGTGGCACTGCTGCACCGCAAACCTCCTCTCTTCGTTTCCAGACTCCCCAATGTTAACGTGATCCCTTCTCCCTGCCATAAACTCCTCGGCAGGAAGAGCATGGACAGGCAGCTTGATGAACAGTCATGTCGTTTTGCCCTTGTAGCAGAAATTTAGCCACCGATCACTGGCTTGTGACACCAAAGGCTTCATTTTGCAGCATCTCCCCCAGCCGAGTTGTGTGTATTCAAGGGAAAGATGCTTTGCATCAGCAGGGTTCCTGGCAGGAGTGAGACTTAATCTCATCAGTGTCTGAATACCTGCTAAATATTTTTGTCCTCTGTTGGAGGAGAAAACAAATTCACCCTATCTTTTCTGTGCTGGCAGCATCCACCTGCACCAGGAATCTGCTCTGAGACATGTATAAAATGTCCTCCCTCCTTAACATACAGCTTACAGAGATCAGAAGGGGCTTGCTGGCATTTGACATACAATCACAGCCCTAATAGTTGCATAAACTTCTTCTGGACTCACAGAGGGGAACAGGGTTTCTGATTGCAGGAAATAGGGGGGGTCGAACCACAGCAGAACCAAGCAGGGACAGTTAAAATGCCAGCAATGTGCAGGAAGGGTGGGCAGTGCTGCTGGAGTGGGCACACTGCATGCTCTGTCCCTCTGCAAAGGTCCCCCTGCTCTCCCAACTTCAGCGTGAGGAGCCAGAGAAGTTGCCCCCAACTCCGCAGCATCCTGTCACATCTTATTTCTGCCTATAGTTTCCAAATGGTTGGAAGAGCTACATTTGTGATTTTTTCCCCTGTAAAAGTAAGACCAAGCCTCCCAGCAGGCCCTTTCCCTTGCAACTACATTCAGCTTTGGAAAGCACCAGCTCTCAGATGGAGCAGCACCTGCAGCTGGGGTACCAGACACAGCACAGGAGGGAGAGGTCCTGTTAAAGATCAGGCATACCCTGGCAGCGGGATGCTCCCAGCACATTGACCTCCCCAGGGACATCCAGCTCCCTGCCCAGCAGCTTGTGGGGGGGAAAGCAGCCTCATTTTTTGAGCAGCTCTGATCACTCTGTTCCATTCTCTGGGTTAAACTTTAGGAGGCACCAGAGGGCAGCTAAAAGCTGGTGGGAACCTTCATTACAGCCTAGGAAGGGAGAAAAACAAATAAAACCTAAACAATCAAACAAATGCCACATTGTTACCTCTAAAGCACATCGCAATTACCAGGGAAGCACCTGCCTGCTTCACCCGCAGCAGGGATTTAGTGGGAGAAGGTCTGCCCAGCTCACAGCCCTCCCCACAGCCTCCCTGGCATGCTGCCTGCGTGTCCTACCTGACGATCACATACATGACAGAGCAGTTGCCCACCAGCCCCACAATGCACACAATGGAGTAGACAACCACAATGGTGATCTTGATGCTCAGCGGTAGGAAGCTGTCCCCCGTGCCGTTGTTGAACCAGTTACTGGGAAGAAAGCTCAGGTTCAGCATGGAGGAGTCGTTCAGCAGCTTTCTCAGGTCAGGGTCTTCCAAAATATGGGCAGGGAAGAGCATCCTGAAACACCAGTCTGTGCCAAGGACCTGGGGCACCAAAGAGACAGTTTTAAGATTCGCTGATCAGTTGGGTATCGCGGGACCGTAGCAAAGCATGTGTGCAAGAAAAGCTGGGGGAGAAGGATGATTTATTGCCGAGGAGAGCACAGCC